TAGATTGTGATGTTATATTTCAGCATCCTGTTGCACTGTACAGATCCGACTTAGGAGCTTTTGTGCCGTCTAAGTGCAACGTCGTTCACTATTTTTCTTCCTATTCCTTTATGAAACACCACATGTGTGGCCATCTTCAGGTGTAAAAGGTAAAGCTATCCTTGTAACAGGACGTGAAGGCCCATAGCGTTGTGAGACGTTGAGGCTCCCACATTTTCTAGACAATCGGCTCACAGATGGTGGTGAGGTTGTCAGCCTTACACGCCGGCCTCTCTTTGTCCCAAGGAAGATTCCTGATACTCATATCTGTTAGAGGCTGAGTCGACCCCAGGGCCATAGTTCGGCTGGAAGGATTAGGTAAATAAAGAATTATCTCATCGGGAATCGAACCCGCGACCTTTTCGGCTTGTAACATAGTGCCTCAACTAACTACGATACCGCGTACCCCGGCCAACTTCAGGTGTACAGGTTGTTATGGTTAAGGTTTCTGCTGCTCGCTCTAATGCGGTTTTCTTTCCTCCCAACAAATAGATGCAACTACAAGTACAAAAGGAGGAAGAGAAGGGCATTGCAGTGAGCAGCAGAATCCTTATGCACAACACCTGTACAGCTGAAGATGGCCAGTTAGGCCGAAACATGTAATGTCACATAAAGGAACTCCAACAAACAATAGTGAACGACGTTGCACTTAGGAGTCAGATTCAGATTGTGGTCCGCTGGAAGATCCTTATAAAGAGTTGCAGGACGATTTCGATTTCGATTTTAATTAAGGTCGATAACATAATTATAATTTCATAAGAGACGTAAATGGAACAGCTGGAAGCACTTAGAAGGCACGTGTGAGCCCTGTGCACTTCGGCACGGATCACACCTTTCCAACCGTACGTGCTACTTGGCAGAAGTCCGAGTGTGTGCACATGTGACCTGATCTCTGGCTCTTGACATTTCATTCACTAAATCGCCGATAGGCGAAACCTGACGGTACATGGTTTCAGTCATTAGATGCAATGAATGTTAAGTTTTGTCGTTCAATCAAACGAGGGAATGGAAATTCATCTCTTGCAGTCAAGGTACTGGCATGTTACCGCGAGTATGACTTGTTTCTGAATATCAGAAGCGGGAACACTCGTAACGGTGCATCAAGAACCAATAACACTCTGAAGTTGAAGTACACGAGCTAACTGAACATGATATCATGTAGTCTGCCAGATGCTTACCGACGTTTCGGGGGAAAGTACCGTCTCTGTCTTCAGGGTCGAAGAGTAAGCCAAACAGCATGCACAGTCAGCTTGTACGGCTTAGTCTTAGACCACGAAGATGGAGGTATAGAAGTATCTTCCGAAATGTCTGCCAGATGACATGATGTCTCATCCTAAAACACAGTATCCTTCATAGTCACCAACGTGAGAACCTAGAATCTCATATAACTAATCTTTATTGAGAAGCTGAAAGTTACTAATCTTGCCAATAAATTCCCTGCTTCATATGAAACTCGAAAGTTGATTAACGAATTCACAGCAGCCTGTTCTAGTTCCTGTCCTTGCCTGGATCAATCTTCTTCTTTAATCCAATGTACACTGATATTATTCTCATGTTTATGAGCAAGTACTCTCTTCCTTTCAGGATTTCCGACTAAAATTTAATTTTTCGTCTCTCCGATGCGTACTACCTGTCATGCCAATCTCATAGTCATCGGTTTTCATTGATGGTGAAAGGGGTGCCTGAATCTTGCGTTGAGTGAAGTGAGTGAATACTGCCCGTTTTTATTACATCATTTCATTGTCTCGCCAGTCCATGGAATGTCGAGAAGACAATAGGCGGACCCAGGATTCGATGCACGGATCTCTAACTTAATTCAAGCATGGAACGACGTTCTACAGCAAGACATGTGACCTTGCGGCCGGCATTCTGTGCAGAACATTACCTGCCGAGCCTCGTGGCCTCAGTTCAAACACTCGCCTCTTGCTTGGAGCATTCGTTGTCTGCCTGCATGACTTCTCCGATACGAAAGGGAGGCAGTGCGTCCATTCACGCGTTTCAACCTCGAAATTTCTCATGGATTTTCAGCTAATTTCGTATGGGTCGACTCTAAGCTGAACGGTGTGAGCCGATATAGCATTCATATCTAATTTATATGAAGCTCAAATGGGACTTGTCGATTTTCTACCGCAGGAGTGGCCAACTTTCTGTGGGCGAGGAGCAACTGGGAGAAGTTTATAATTGACAATAAACTCCGCAGGCGTGTACAGTAAGACGTGCGGAATCGAATAATTATGTCGTGATCAGGTTTGCTCGTTGAGTCCTAAGATTATGACATTTCCCAAAATGTAATTCCAGCAAAATCTCAGAAGAACGATACTAAGGAATTATTAAGTTTTTTCTTAGAAAACTGCATTATTATTTAACCTGAATCCATAAATGTGACACCTTACAAACAAAAACAAACTCCGTGGTCTGTAGTCCGCAAGCGAACTTCACCTACCGAACGACCACCGCTTGTCAGTGAAGTAAGTGCCTTGAAATAGTTCGTCAATTATCCTTACGAGGCTGAGTGGACCCTGTTCTAGACCCACTAATTTTCAGAAATTATGATAGCGCCGGGAATCGAACCCGGAACCTCTGGATCTGTGGCCAGGAACTCTGACCACTAGACCACAGAGGCGGTCATGTGACACCTTAACAAAATCTAAACACCTAGACGCCTCGGCACTGGACAGAGATCTGGTTCAAGAGCGGAAATAACCGCGTGATTTGTCATCGTCGTACACTAAGTAAGAAATTGATATAATTATTTGAAAACTTTCTCGGACGAATAAAAAAGTTTTCCAAGGATATCAAGGAGCCCGCGAGCATACGGTTGGCGGTTCCTGTCTGCTTCGTTACAAACGTTATCTCAGCGATGTGTAAGAGATGAAATCCTTCTCTTTTCTCGTCCGCGCGTAACAAGTTCATTCGCAATGGAAACATTTTAATAAAACATGATACGGTCCATTCAGTATCCTTATTAAAGTTTAAAAACCAAGTCAAACCTTCCCCTGAATGAACTAGTGTTTTAACCTAATTTTACTTTTAGTAGTTGGTTGAGAGGCTATGCTACAAGTCGGAAGGTCGCGGGTCCAACATAAATGAGTACCAGGAATTAATTAAATAATTTTCCTGGGGAGTAAAGAGCGGCAGACGCGTAAGGCTGACAACCTGACCGCCATCTTCGAGCCGATTGTCTAGATAATGTGGGACCCTCAATTTCTCACAACCCTATGGGCCTTCAAGGCCTGTTACAGGGATAGCTTTACTTTTTTAAAGGTATTAATTTTTTTAATGCTACTGGGGTGGGACTAAGTCCCTTGTACTGCGGCCACTTCTGCCCTATTGTACCAGCCCCAGATGATAGGTGAGGGTGATTGTGAAGCAATTGGTGGAATGAACATTGGCATGGGAAACCGAAGTACTCGGAGGAAACCTGCCCCAGCGCCACTTTGTTCACCACAAATCCCGCTTGACCAGACCCCGGGATCGATCCCGGGCCGCCGCGGTGGGAAACCAGCGACTAACCGCTTGAGCTATGGCGCGGCCACAGGTATTAATTAAGGCATATTACTTGTACACAAGAATGGGTTCATTCAAACTTCTGAATTTAAATTATATACAATTGAACTACTTTAATATTTATGTTGAGACATTTTGATAACAGAACACATCGAATTTTCTAGACAACGCAACGGCCTACGCTGTATGAGTTGACGGCCGGAGAGTGCGGCTCTTATGCCAGAGTGCTCTTAAAAAGAACCTCGCCGTACAACCTGACGATGATAAATGTGTCGAAATATCCTGCATTTAAGCATCCTGTTGCATTACTATCCAATACTGTTCATTGTACTGCACAGTCCGTCAACAATGCAACAAATTGTTCTTTCTTACACTTTCAGTTTCGACACGTTTCGGCCCTAAATGGCCATCTTCAGGTGTCTTACTATGCTAAAACTGCTACACTGCACTAATAATGTCCATTCGTCGCATATACAACTGCACATTTCATGGTTTAAAACGTCATGCTCGCAGTCAATTGGTATGCCCTAAATAGCACACGTTGTAATTCACTTAATTTAAATCAAATAAAATCTACTAAAATTTTATATTAAAATTTCCTTTAAATTTCGTAAAACTCTCATTACAGCTCACAAGGGGGCGTCGTCCACTTGTTTTGATCTGTATCCTTTACTTCAGATGTATAATTGCCGTAACCTGTTTTTCTGTTCTTGTCACTTGTCACACAAGCGAAGACAGCACCGCACGCTGCCAGAGGGAAGAACGCACAAGCAAGGGGCAAAATTACAGATTGCACACGTAACAAAATAACGGCTTCAATTGAAAAATCCAATGATCTAATCGGGATTGGAACCCACGACCTTCCGACTGGTAGCATAGTGCCTCAACCAACTACACTACGGAGTGACCCAATAAAATAGCATGACATTAATTAATTCAATAGAAGCATTTATGTGGAAGGCGTGTATAACTGTAATGTAACACCACAAAACAAAATGCACCAACAGATCAAGATGGTGTAGAAATAACACTCTAAACAAGTGTACGGCAGACGCTGGGTCGAATCTGGTCTGAGACATCGCTGTCCCCCTCGTTCCAACAAGGAAAATGTCGGGGAAAGCAGTTCACTTAGGTTACGGGTGCTTCTTTCCAAACTCTTTTCAGTTCATTGCTCGCCAATCATACCGCCATTCGCCAGTATATAGCGTGAGACACGGGTAGTGTCACAAAATAAACCACACAAAGGATGAGGAAACGCAGCAATACAACTTTGCGTTACTGCAGTCTCCTCGAAATTAAATCACACTTCATTTGCATTAATTAGACTATGCAGTTGACAGAACGTCGCCAAAGACGGAGTGCGCAAGACCGGCGCGCGGTTTGCCTAGAAGCCCAAGGGAGGGGACTCCTCAGTCACATGTAGTAAGTGTAGTATAAAGAGTATATGGTACGGCCGCTTGCAGCCAGTTCGGGTCCAGCAATTGGAGACGAAGTGGAGTGGTCAGTGCGCGCGCAATTACAGGTACAGGTGCAAGCGTGTGGGCGCTTCGTTAGTAGCTACAAGTTGTGTCTGTCTGTGTCTGTTTCGCCTCGTGATTTATTAACGAGGCAGGTTCAACCCCGCAGGTTACAAAATGTCATGGTTAATGGTGTATGGTGTCGTAGGAACAAAACTGTCATGCAGTAACGGAGAAAATTCAAGACGAAATTGGGAACTCATCCATAAAGAAGCATGAGTAACAAGGGACAAACTCACACACACACACACACACTTTAGAAAACTTCTGTCATCCTCGTTGTCTTTCCACAATGCATATGCAAAATAATTCTGCAGTTATTTGCGTGAGAGTAGATTACATAAATTACGAGGATTTTACAAAAAGTACCGAAGAAAATTTATGCATCTAAGAAGTGTTAAGTGAGCAGTTTAGGATAATACGTAATGAGGAACTGCGCCTTGTAGTGTAGTTAGGAAAGTGAAATTTTGGAGGCTGCGAAGGATGAGGAAAGGGGCGAATGAGTCTATAGAATTTTAGGAAAACTTCTTGAGAAACGTTAGTTGTATGACCCAGTGGAGCTGTGAGGATGGAAGGTGGAGGGGTAACAGTGGCTGGTTTTGATATTTGCGGAATCGAATCATCGGTTTGTGTTTTAACCGATATAAAACCATCCGTAGATTACACACATTTTTGACATAATCGATACGTCATGTTATCGACTTCTAGATCCGATTCAACTCTTTTTTTCATTGGTGCCAGGGACAGATACGGTTTTACCCTATCCCCCCCCCCCTAACCCAAAATAACTGAGACAAAAACAAATATGTTCCTTCTGTAACAATTTAGTTATTTGCAGTTTTATGGTCAGGAGGCAAATTTTGGCAGTAAAGATGTTTTGCGAAAATGTATAACAGTATTTTGTTCCTACTCAATTCGTTGGTGTGAGTTTTCTTGTTGCTAGTGGGGTGGGGCTAAGTCCCTTGTACTGCGGCCTCTTCTGGCCTATTGAACCAGCCCCAGATGATAGGTGAGGGTGACTGTGGAGCAATTGGTGGAATGCAGATTGGCAGGGGAAACCTAAGTACTAGGAGAAAACGCGCCCCAGCACCACTTTGTCCACCACAAATCGCACTTGACCAGACCCGGGACTGAACTCGGGCCGCCGCGGTGGGAAGCCAGCAACTCACCGTTTGAGCTATGGCGCGGCCTTAGTGTAAGTTAATTTAATGGCCTGCCGAGGTTGTTTGGCGCCAAATGAAACGAGACGTTACCGATTTACGCGTAAATAGAAAATACTGGAAAGCTGTCGTGATCTGTTTTGAAGCAGTATATCTCGTATTCTACGGTATTTCTGCCATTAAATTTAATCCACATATTTGTTACATATAGTCCGTGTTTTTGGAGTTGGCCGGCCTCAAAATGCGCAGTGGATTTAGTTCACCAACTGAGATAAGGACTGTAGGGCGTGTATGGGTTATAACGGGTCGTTCGTTACAGTGCGTCACCCTCCCTTTACCCCAAGCTAGCTGCAAGCACTACTGTTCATTCAGAAAGGAGCTACAGCACAACGCGCATGCGGGCGTATACGACGAAGCTAACAGGCGCCTGCGCAATGTTACGAAACGTTTCGGAAAATATATCATTGTTAATTCAAGAAGGAAATTACACGCCGAGGAAATGAGAGATTTATACTTTTTCACAGAACTTTTAACGTAAGATGTTAGGATTGGCTGGATATGTAGATCACAGAGACAAGAAGTATGTAAATAGTACTGGCGAGAGGGGCCACAGGGGAAGGTAAAGGGACAAGATCAAACTTAGGGAAAAATGTGTTTTAAGAATTAAAAATGGACTATAAAGTACATCGGCGGGCTTTTGTGCTAGCGGTGTTTAACGTTCGGATTCTGATGCTAGAGAGAATTAATAGGTCTATCAATATGTTACTTCATTTTATTACTTCCTAACATATGTCTGACCACGAAATGTTATGTGACGTCTATTGGTCCCCCCCCCCCATTTTTCTTACCGAGTTTAAGAGTCGAAAGCAGATAATTTATTCCTTTTTCAATCCGGATGTTCTTTTGCGTTTAACGAGCTAGAAACTATATTAACCGAGAGAATTCATTTAATTTCATTAATTCCCACAAACGTAAACAAAATGAATTGACGGAGACCGTGAATGTCATGACGATTCGCCTTACGCGAACTGTAGAAACACGGAGTGCGAAACGGTATGAAGAGCCGTCTGAAGTCGAATTGTGAAGAGTGTAGCATGCAGCATCAGTGTCTCTTCATTGCCAGGAGAGACAGAAAGCTAACGAGAAATCTTAATCTACTGAGGGGAGAGAGTCTGCAGTTCGAGACCCGAACTCCATACATTCCCAATAGTGATATGTAGAAAATGAATAAATAAGATTTGAGGCTTTCACGGCGGTGACTATGAAGAAAGCAGTCTTCTGCAGACTGCTTTTACCGTTCTCACGGTCTTGTCGCTTGCAGATTTCTTATACTTTTTCTTCTACCATGAAGATGGAGGCGATACGTTCCTCCGAAACGTCGGTTAACACCACTTATACACGGTGCCAAATCCCAGAAGACTGCTTTCTTCAATGAATAAATAATTTGTAAAAGTTTGAGAGACGTCGGGCTGTTTTCAGAAACAGCTATATCAGTGTCTGTGTGCAGGAACTGAGAGATCCACAGACCGCCTCTGTGGTCTAGTGGTCAGAGTTCCTGCCTATAGATCCAGAGGCCCGGGTTCGATTCTCGGCGCTACCAGCGTTTTTGAGAAGTAGTGTGTCTGGAACGGGGTCCACTCAGCCGCGTGAGGATAATTGAGGAGGTACTTGAATGGAATAGTAGCGGCTCCGGTCTAGAAAACCGAAATTAACGGCCGTGGGGATTCGTTGCGCTGCCCACGCGACACCCTCTATCCGCCGAAGTTGGCACTAACTTCGTTGACAAGCGGCGATTGTTCCGTCGGTATAGTTCGCTTGCGGACTAAAGCCACAGAGTTTGTTTTTGTTTTGTTTGTATAGATCCACATTTTCTTAACCTCGGTACTAGCTCGAGGTGAGTGGTCAGCTTAACGCGCCTGTCGCTTTACCCCCTGTACCTATTGGATAGGAGGTTGGGTGGACCCCAAAGCCGGTCTGGACGACGTGAAGAAGAGATAATTTTTGATCCTACTGGGACTAGTCCAGCCCGTAGTCAGTCACTATACCGACTATGCTATCGGAATACCAGTAAGAACTCCGGATAGTGTATCGGCCTACATGACTGGTATTCAAACCGGCTACATCATGAATACGAATAAGAAGGGCTGCCGCTGATTTAACCTGTTAGCGATATTACTTTTAGTTACTTACCCACTGAGCCGGTCACGGTAGCCTAGCGGTCTAAGGCATATACTGTCTTCGCTCGCCCGGAAGCCGGGATCGTCGGGTTCGAATCCCACTCAGGGCGCGGATGTTTGGTGTGTGTGTGTGTGTGTGCGCGCGCGCGTGCGTTTTTCGGTGTTGTGCTATCCTGTGTTTAGGCAGAGGCCTTGCGACGAGCTGATCACCCGTCCAAGGAGCCCTACCGTCTGTAAAATGATCAAGAAACTGAGAAATCAGCCCTGTGCTCGAAATTGGAAGCAAGAAGAGAAAAAAAAAACTTGCCCACCATTCTTTCGTATGAAAGACGTCACGTGACTGAACCAATTTACGTGGACAGATCATGCGGAAGGGACAAATAGCAGGTGTCTTCAGGGAAGTGCTTCCCTCAGGGCTCGCTCTGTTTGCTAGAAATGAGGACGGGGGACCTGCTGTGTAACAACCCGACTGTTCACAGTCTGGGGGGAGAAACCCCCAGTCTCCTCAAGTACTCCCAGCACAAGAATGTCAAACCCCCTCGTGAAATTTGAGGCTGGCACGGCGGTGGCTATGAACTTTCTGAAGTTTCTGTAGGATGCACTGCTACCATCTTCAAGGTAGATGAGTAAGCCGAGCAAGCTAGAGTGAATCTTTGACCCTTAAGACGGAGGCAGTATATTCCTCATAAACGTCAGTAAATTTCTATCGGACTGTACATTACAAAAGACAGTACTCTTCAAACCGATTTAAGTTCATTATCTCAAAATTATAAATCAGGGACGGCAACAGGGTTTCTAAGTGTCAGAAAATTAAGAAGCGATGGAGCGGAACAGTTCGTTCTTACAGATAATGCAAGATAACAAAATTCCGGGATGTGAAGCAGTGTAGTTTGGTATCATATTCCTATGATTACTATTCTTCAAATGTGACCGTTTCTTCTTTATGAAAATGAGTTTTGTGCAAAACTGTAGATCTCTGTTTCTCTTGTTCCTTTCCCTATATTATGAATTACATTTCTTTAAAAGTTATGTTGCCTATCCGACATGGGGCTACCACTTTCGCAGGCTCTTCCTTTACAACGGTTTGGCTTGTATTTAGTTTCTGAATACACGCTGAATGATATGTGGTAATTACTAATTCTCATGCTAGACATACTGAGCTACGTGAACACAACAAAGTGCTAATGGTTGGTACAATAGGCCAGAAGTGACCGCAGTACAAGGGACTTCGTCCCACCCCACTGGCAAGTGCTAATGGTTCACGATTCTATCAACCTACCACTCGGTGCTACACCCCTGGGTGAGCCTAGGCCTCCTCTACAACCAGTCTCCACTGCTCTCTATTCCTCATCTTCTCTATCCATCCTTTCACCTTCATCGTCTTCAGGTTGTTCTCAACATCGTCTGGCCATCTCCTCCTGGGTCTTCCTTTTCTTTTGGAATATAGCCTTCCTTTTAACATTCTTTTAGTGCATTATCTTCCATTCTTTCGACATGTCCCAACCATCTTATTCTCTGAATTCACGGTTCTGTCAACAAAAAATATTCCAGCCGCACTATAGCCATAGGGTTGACTCAGCCTCTAACAGAAATGTGTACCATGAATCTTCCTAGGGGGTAAAGGGAGGCCAGCGCCTAAGACTGACAACCTCACCGCCATCTGTGAGC